TCTCGATGGTAGTCCTATTTTTCTAGTATATCTATTTTTATTTTTACAATAGTTCTATTACAAAGAAACTAGAAATATTTCTTCAAAATATTGTTACATCTGTATAAAAGAATCGTAAATCTTTGTTTATCAATGATGTGTAGTTTTTATTTATCTAAGTAGAAGATGAAAGTGAATTCTCTATATTAAAAAAAAAAAAAATTTTATCTTTTAACCAAATTACGAAGTAAACTAATCGGCGTAAATTTACAATATACACTTGTCAAAAAAAAATTTTAGAAATTTTATGGCGTTTTAAAATGTTACTTCTCACCTTAATTTTTTTTCTAAAACGTACGACTATCTTTAGGTAAATATAGCTTGTGATCGACAAACTTATTACAAGACAATTGAGAAGAGAACATTTATGAGTTTAGGTAAAAGAAAAATTTCAACAGAAACAAAAAAAATAACAGAAGAAAAACAGAGTTACCACATGTTCATTTTAAAACCGTTTTTTGTAACAGAAATAGATCTAGAATAATTTTTTGTTGAATGAAGTTTAAATGAAAAACAACTTTCCAGAAGAAAAAGCTACATCTCTTCTTTGTACATTCGTTCTTGTCTTATACGAATAATATTTTATTTGTGCTCTTACGAATTCTACACGCACACATTATACATGAAAATAGTCGATTACAAATGAAGAGCTTACAACTCTTTGTTGTTCTTCTTTTGAAACTTTTCTTACTATTAATAGTATATCGCAATTAATAATTGAATTTCACAAACGAGAATAAAAGACAAAACTCATTATTTATTTATAATTTACTTCTTCATAGTGTATCTCGTTATTTTTAGATATTTGTGAATGGAACAAAGAGAATAAAATTTTACTATTACCGATTAAAGAAGAAACGCAAATGTGAGAAATAAAATATGATGACAAATCGAAATGATGATCTGTTACATTTATTAAAACACAACCATCTATATTCAGCATACAAAAAAAAAACTTGATTCATTTTCACATTCTTCTCTCATCTTTTCTGTTGCAAGATACATCTGCATCTCTGACGCACGCACTAGAATGTAGATGCGTATGTTTCTAAAACAAAAGTTCAAGAACTGTTCATATGTCTATTTTGCATCCTTCTATTGTATTCAAAGTGTGTGTATTGATATATGTATATATATATATATATCTGTAGACTATATGCTGTCTGTTTTTCAAGATAGGATGAATAATATAGCTTAAATTAATTCTGGATGATTTTTATAAGAAAAAAAAAGATATCCTAGAGATAAATACATAAATGGTACAATAAAGTTCCAATCGTTCGACTATTGAAAGAATAAATGAATAATGAAGAGCTGAAGATTAAAGACGGCTAAACGAATTCTATTTTCATACATACATACACGTACACATATATATATATACATAGACATAGGGATTGTATCTTATTTCATAAAAACAAATGAGTGTATGTAGTTACACTGGATATGAAATAAAAGAAAGGCAAATAATCATCTTTGCCTAATACGAAAAAGTAGTAGCTGGCTTTTTTTTTTTAATAAGACGGCTAGTAGACCGTTCAAGGCAAATTTTTGAATCTTCGAGAACATCTGATCAGTTTACTACAAAGAATCTGATACTAACGACGTCGTATCAGTTAATCACTTTTATCGGATGATGTTTTGTTAAGTAGACTCCTTCGGAAATAGTACATTCAGATCGAACTAAAAAATGATATTCAGGATTTGTCATCGACTGATGTAAAGTTTTCTGTCACCGTAGATTAAGTGATGTTTTGACAAATCGCAAGATTAAATACGTAACATATCTGTGTATGACATCACACGTGAGGGTGACTGTAGAGAATGAATCCACAAAATTCGCTTACTGAATATTTTACGTTTATAACATTAACATTACACGTTAAATACAGAGTTTCATACCAATATTTTATCAAATTTTCAATTTATATTAATAATTTCTTGTCATCGTGAATATTCAGACAGTTGGATCGCTCAAAAATATTTACATTTATGTGGTTCTATGGTTTAGAACAAAAAATAACCAGCATTTGTACAAATAAAAAAACCACAAAAAAGAAGAATCTAAAAGAAAAGCATATGTATATTATTTCACCTGTGTTACCTTTACGTTATTACTGAAACACGAAACTAATATACTCTTTCTAATATACTTTGAATATAACGTCTCCACTTTAGTCTTTATTTCCTTTCACTAAACTTTCTTCATTTCGATTAACCATTTCGAAAATGTAGAAATTTCTCTTGAATGAAGACCGAAAGAGTAACAGACTTCGATCTGAAATTCGCGATCTCTTATGGTTCTTTGGACAGTTGCAGACTAAATTTCAGAACAATCTTATCAAGCAAACAACTTTTTGTGGAACATAGGAAAGAGAGGATAATTCAACGTGAATTTATCCTCCCCCCCTGTGCCTTGGTTCAGTACGCCTTTCTTTCTCTTTGGGTCATGATATTATTACATCTTATCATTACACCTTAAATTTATCGTTTAGTTGAAGTCTTGATAGCTCATTTTCTTTTTCTTGTTCTAGCTTTCACATTGGACAATAATACAAACCAATGAGAAGCAAAATGTGTCGCACTGTTATCCTAGGAGTTTTAAAAGACGATTAACTGTGAAAACCTTAAGTTTCAATTCAAAAACATTTGAAAATAAGTATTTTAAAAAATATATTTTGTTGGGTTTATCAATATAACAATCACTCTTATGGTGAATTACCACTGGTGGCGTGGCGAGGATTTTGTTAGTGGGTGGACTGTCCCGGAAAAGCATACTTTGGCACACTTTTTCCATGCCATTGGCACAATTTAAGTGTGCTTTTTCTAAAAGTATGCTTTTCCGGGACAGTGTGGGCGTTGCCCCAAATTTTTCGAAAGTGGTAGAAATATAAGAAATTTGGGTAGGTCTATTGACACCCCACATTAATGTAAAATGTAGTTTTTTAACCGACGATATCACGAATCCTCTACCAATTAGTGATACGCTGAAGCAAAATTGTTCGGAAGTTGACTTTTTAATCCGTATTAGAAGTGTTTTAAATTCTGCTGTCAATTGCGCACGCAATCTCCATTAGTTAAAGTCGATTCTGTAACAAAAATATCGATACAAGAGCTGGAAATAAAAAGTAGGTTTCAACACTGAATAGGATGGATGTATATCAATTAGTCATTTGATTCGATCATATCATAAATTTGTTTTTTTTCTGTTTTCGAGAAAGAACTAATTCTTACGAAGTTGTTAAACTTAAAGAGAAAAATGCGATTTAAGAAAAGAAAATAATACTTTAGAAATAAAAATTAAATGTTACTTGATATGTTAGCCGAAGTATTATCTAAAAATAGTTCACAAAAACGATCTGCTTGGTATAATTAGTTAGATATGAGTAGCCGATTTTTGCAATGTCTTGTATATAATACTTTTTAATCATTAATTTCCTGTAGCCAGTTAACTAAAACTTGTTTCGAATTTTTTTGCTTGCACATAAATAAATACACTAGATTGATAAAAACAAATTAAGGTTGTTCTTTGGAAAACGTACCACGTTTACATCGACGTTGAAAAACCTATTTTTCTAATAACCTATAGCGTGTACATGCGAAATATATGTCATCTCACGTCCTGCAATTCCGTGGAATGGTGCGCAAGGGGGAAACAGCAGACTCCTGGACTCCATGGATTCCTGAAGTCTAGAAATTCGTAGAAGTGTTGCTATTATATGAAAACCTATTACTACGTATCAACACTTAAAAGAACATCTCTAATAACATTGTGCATAATTCCTTTATTATAACTCGTTTGTTTCCAATCTTGGCAAAGCTTTTAAATTTATCTTTCTCAATATATATTTTTGATCATAATTAATAAACAAACAATAAAATATAGCATAGTTTCACGAATATATTCTTATGGGGTTCTCGGTACTCGTATGGGCCTGTTGGTACTCCTTGGAACTACGAGGGATTCCATGGGACTCCCATAGACTCCGGGATTCCTGGAGTCCAGGAGTCTGCTGTTTCCCCCTTGATGGTGCAGCACGTACCCAAACTTTAAAAAACGAGGGAAATCGCCTCTAAAAGTTGTTTTTTTCTATCGTTAGATGGGTTTTAATTTCAATGAGAAGCACTTCATTCATGAACAGAGCTTAAGAAGATGCGCGAATGCGTATGTTGTTGTCGTGTGTTGACCTGATTTTATGGAGGAAGTATGGTTTACAAAATAGGCCCATTTTTCGAAAAAAACGATTTTATTAAAAATTTTCCTGAGAACGTGCTTAACATTTTTTGGAACTTTTTGTCCGTTAGGGATTCTGCAGTGCTGTACATATAGATTCTAATCTGACGGTACCAGCTTATGAAAGTGTTTTGCTAAAAAATGATAAAATTGCCCAGAAAAGGTCTGTTTTGCTGGGAAATGGTATCTCCACAGGTCTAGAAGGCCACGATGCTGTTGCTTTAAAATATTTTAAACGTGATATTAGTCATCAAGAGCTCGAGTTATACCAGTCCTATTACTCTCGACCTGCTGAGATAAAGTCAATGTAAACGTGGTACACTTTCAAAAGAATCACCCATTGATAAAACGAACACAAAATCAAACTTTTCTGTGTAAGTTGATTGTGCGAGCTTTGTAAACGAAAGGAGAAATAGAAACTATTACAGTATACTAAATGGATACCTGATCTGTTTCAAATAGGCTTAATACTGGTTATATCTATACCTCTGTACTAACTCTAAGGTGTTGCTTCTTCCCTACTTACAGCGGCATCTAGAGCAGACCAAAATAATTTAAGTAAATATTTAAAAGACTTTGAGAAAACGTAAGTTCATAACTTCTTCAAAATCAATTCATAATTTAAACGACGATTGTGTGAGGGTAGTCGCTATGCGAAGAAACGATTCATGGATTATGATATACTCTCAATACATAATTCATCTGTATTTTTTGTTTAGTGAACGAGATGAATGAATATAGTATAAATCGTGCAAAATCGGCTGATCCGTACGATCAGTTGTATCGTGAAAAAAAGAAAAAAGAGGAATTAGATAAAATTCGTTTAAAGTCGCGTGCAATATGGTCTAGACCCGATACATCCGAGACCACACATGGCTTCTACTTTCAACATCCTATGCAAAATCAACGAACTCCATTGCGACCAACGTCGCGTAACAGACGAAATAATCCGCATCCAAAATTGTAAGAGACGTCTAGAGCAGTACTTTAAAAGCTCGAGTCGTTATCAGTTCTGACACAAGAATAGTATATCTATGAGTGTCTGTGGTCTGCATGTGGTTATTTGTAAATTCTCATTATTATATCCTTTCAGATATGTAGTAAGGTGTAACTATGTCATGCTACATTCACTTAAACAGCAATAGAAATCAGATACGAAAACGTGGCACTACATTTTTACTATTAAAAAATGTTCCCCTCAATGAGTGCATAGCGACGATATAGAGGGATTATTTTTTCGTTTAGGGTATTCCTCTGTACTGGAATGAAAGAAATTCCAGATGCTTATGGAGCTCCAAAACAAGAAAGGACTGTAGAAGGTACAGTAGTATTTTTCAAAAACTTCACTGAGAAGGAATAAGTAATTGTTTTTTTACAAAAGAAAAAAGAAAAGTCTATAATTTTTGAGTTTATTCTCTGAGAGAAATAGATTCTTTTATTTTTCTTGTAGTTGACAAACCTCCGTCACGTGCCAGCAAAAGTTCTTGGCATATGCAAAATCTATCAGATGTCGAACGACAAGGAGCTGGAGCATTTTTGAAGATAGCTAATGATGAAGCGAAAGAAAATGCATTTCAAGCTGTGCGAAATTATCGTTCATTGGGTTTAGATGAACATTGCCCGCATATTCATCAACAGAATTCTGTCCCAAACAGCGGTAATACAGAATACTATCCGTCACTGTATCGATTTCGACAAGCTATTAATAATGATAAAGGTGAGTTTAGAGATATTGTGAGTTACTCAATAATATATTCGTGTCTTGTCTATACTATAGAGTATCATGCAGTTACGCAAGCATTAAAAAATCCTCATGTTGACATAAAATTGATTGATGAAAGAATACAACCTAACGTTCGATATCGTACAGAAGAAAATCAAGAACGTTTTCATCGTCGTCATCATTCTTGTATATTGACACAACGACCATATCGAGGTGACTTTTCAATACATCCTGATTGGAATCCTCAGCTTTCACATCATCGTTTGACATGTTTATGTTGATTTTACACTAATTTTTTCACCATTTATTTATCAATTTTATTGTATAAACAGAGTTCAATATTGTAACTATTTAACAATTTCGAGAATTCATTACTAGAGAGTAGATCGTATTCATGTTGTCTTTCGTGTGATTGAGAAAAATCGTCTGGTCCTTCAAATGAACAACCACCATTGCAAGGATCACTTGGAAAGCCTGGATGACACATAAACTCACAAACTGTATTAGACGCTGTCATTTTATTTTTATTTGCCTCAATAGATATCTTTAAACTGTCTAACGTCATATTTTTACCCATTATTGCCATACCAATAAAATAGGAGGGATATTTTAACGAATATTTATCAAATATTTCAAATGATGATAATGTTTGATTGACAATCTTTGTGTAAAATGAATTCATCTCGTCTAAAGTATGTGAAATGATTTCATCGACGGGTGCCCGTATACGTTTAACACCAAATTCATTTGAAATTTTACAAACTTGATTAACAATGTTTGGATGAACATGAATATGTTGATGACTATCGATATGTTGTGGTATTTGACCTGATAACGTTTGAAATAATCTTAATTGACTATAAATTTCATGTTCAATATGCTTAATATTAATATGTCCTTTTTCTAATGCATTTCTCAAACCCAATTTACCATGAAATAAATTTTTGTCATTGACTAATGTATGTACTAAAGATAAATCGATTGTCACCGGTTTTCCCTCAGTTAAGTTCAAATGTAAACCCATTGGTATGCGATATGTATTGGATAATTGACATGCTTCGTGAGCAAAAAGACCATTGACTAATAAACTGGTAGATGTTATACGACCAGCACGAAATAGGTCAATAATAGCAGCATTTCGTTTTGGACAGTATCCAAAATCATCCGCATTTATTATCAAATATTTCATCAGATATCAAAAAGAAATCTTGGAAGCTTTTCACCTTTCAAGTAGAGAGAAAAGATATTCCAATATCTTCATCGTTTCTCATGACTCTATTTTTCTAAGTACTTTTGAATATGAAAGGTTGTTAATCAGTTATTTTGAGTGTGTGCTATGTTTTAACGGTGTCATAGTAACTTATATAAGCTAATGTATTTCAAAAACGATTCTTAGTTCTACGCTACTCTGTGTTATGTGTACTCGAACATGAAATTGAAGTTTGATGTACAATATAAGAAACAACAGTGAACTATTTTTTTGCATATATATGATCATCATGTTAGTGTTTTTGTATCTAGGTGAACAAGACGCTTTGATTTATCATCAATAGGCTTATCATATTGCTTAATTTAAGAACTATCGAATTTTGTACAGATATCCCATAAATAGATAAATATTTCTGCTTGTATTTTGAAAGAGTAAAGCTGAAATAAAATCAAGCAGATAACGTGAAATAAGCGCAAGTATAAGCGACATTAAAATTGAAAGGATTTCCAGCATTGAGTTTTTTTAATGATATTTCAATGTTAAATCGTCTAGTCATAACGAGATGCAAAAAAACCATTATAAATTTAGCCGTTGGCAAAAAATTCTCTTTTCTTCTAACAATTTCAATATCTGATATATACGAGAGTGATGATGGGATCGAAAATGCTTTATAAAATGGATGATCAATGTGACGTAGATTACTATCTATTAAAAAGTGATATTATCCATTTTACGAATTAAAATGTGTGAATGTGTATGAGTGTGTATGTACCTTGGCCTATTCTATTCAAAAAATTTGAAAACGAAAAAAGAGAGAAGGAAAGAAAGGATACTTTCCAACATAGAAAAGTATTTTGTCCATAGTGGATGATATATGGTGAAAAGGTGAAATATGAATATATAAACATCAAAACAAAACGACAGGATAAATAGGAGAATAATGATGACAAACAGAGACAATAACTCATCGATAAAATAAATAGAAATAGAAACATGATTTTTAAGTAAAAAAAAGAGAGAGAGTGACACAAAAAAAAGAAAAGTACTAAAAGGATTTTGAATGACTGTCGTCATTACCATGGGTAAGATAATAACAGAGTAAAGAGAAATTATCACGGTTGAATGAATTTGACAAAATGATAAAGAAAACTAGTAACGGTGGTCTGAATATAAAGTACTTTCTCATCTCTGTTTATGAGAGAACAATGCACACGTAAGCGGTATATAATATAGATGTACGTTTTAGTACGACATATATAGAGAGAAAAATAAATATATGATATCTCACGCATAAATATTAAGCCTCAAGTAGACACTTTTTTCAACACAATTCAAAACTAGACTATAGTAGAACAACTAACTTAGAAGGTATTAGAATCGTTGTATTCATTATTTTAAAGTCATATGATGCCGAAGACGGACATTTTTTATATATTTGAAAACACCGATTCAATACAATATGATGATTTGTTGATCATTCAGGTAAGCATCATACTAATTATGTACGCATTCATATGTTCTATGATTCTCAGTCGAGCTCATTTTCGCTAAACTAATGTTTTTCTCCAACACTGTAACGCACAGTTCAACAAAATTATTCATGAACTATTTACTTTGCTCTTCGAAAGATACCAAGATAGATTCAAAGAAGAGGGTTTCAGAGTTTAAAACTGATATGTAATTCTACGGAAGAGGTAATAGAATAGGACTTTTGCGCTGTTAAGGTATTTCGCTGAAAATTATTTTTTTGTTATGTAATAGAGAGAAGTATTTTCTCTCTCTCTCTTTCTCTCTCTTTCTCTCTCTATCTTTTTTTCTTTTTTTTCAACGGTTGAATGAATTCAGTCCATAGGACAATATTAACCGTATACGATTTATATTTGATTTTAAAGATGAGCATGTATATGTGTACGGAAGGAGAAAAATTGAAATATTAACTATATTCTATAAAGTATGTATAATAAGTATAAAAATTTAGTTTTAATATAAGATGCTCTCTATTTTGTATTTCAGAAGTATGCTCGCTCATCATGGAGAATTAATCAATTAATTTACGCAATTAGGCGAAAGCATTATTTAAAGAGATTTTGTGATTGGCTATCTGAATTCACATTCTCTTTCAATAGTGCCTTTGTCGATGCAGATAGTTTTATGTTTTGAATTTTTAATCTTGAAAAAAGATTATTACAGAGAAGATATATTTGGATATTTGTGCATGGCACACAAATATGAGCGAAATCATCTGATGCTTTTATTTTGATTTTGGTTTCGTACTCGCTTCGAATGTACTATAAACGGTGCATCAGGGAGCGCAATTGTATTCTTTCTTTCTATATATCAACATAAGAGAGAAATAATAAGTATCAAGATCAAGATTCACTCACATTTTTGAAAACAAGATGTGTTTTCTGCGAATGTGTTTTACCTATTACAGTGATAATATTATTACTAGAAAAGAGTTGTCTTACTTTGATTTCCGTCCTTTTCATTGAATATATTTCAGGATTAGCTATAAAATTCAAGAACTAAAATGGCTGCCAGTTCATTTTACTTCACATAACAGAAAAATTTACAAGAAAACTAAATAAAGCACATTTAGAACAGTCATCATATCAGCTATGTAGAGAAAAAGAATATCGACATTTCTTTATAGCAAACTGCAGGTGAGTGAATAACTGAATGTGCTATCCAAAATAAGATTTAGCCCACGATCTGTTTATATTGTTAGTTCTCTGCTGCTAGATAACGTCAGAGTTTTTCTTATTCATGCCTGGACTCAGTTGTTTTACTCGCTTTCTATAAAAAAATATTTGATTAAAATGCGCGATTCATCTAATATTCAATCAAAAGTTATCAAGTCAACAAAAACAACAAAGTTTCTTGATTTTTCTATGAAATTTTGGATAAAAGGACAACTTTGGTGTAAAGCTAAACTTTCTCAATGAAATATTTAGATTTGATTACCGTTGTGTATCTTTTCAAAGCATATTGTGAAATGCGCGATACGTTCATGATACCCATCAGGTTCCAGAGAAAGATCAAAAAACGAAAGTTTCGATATGTGACAAATGATTAAACTGACTGTTCTGCATGCAAGATGAAGTACACAGATAAACATATGAAATGTTTGCTGAAGTATAAATCCCACTGATATTTAAAAGAACGATCTGAATAAATTAATAATAAAAAATATAAAATCAAAAGTAAAAGTGATGTTTCATTTTAAATTAGTAGAGTTTTGTGTTTGAATCTAAAGTTCTTCGTGTATTAAGTAGCCTCCGAATGTTGAATATCGCCAACCGTACAAATGTGTTTTGAAGTTATAATCATTGTCAGATCGTGATTGTGCACGTACATAAACCCGATCACCTTTATTCAAGTATAAAACGACAGTTGTTGACGCTGTATTCCATACGGGTACTTTTTGATTTTTAACACCCGTTAAATATCCCTCAACCCACAATGGAATGACATTTTCACTATTTTTACATAAGGCAACACTTGCCTAAAAATATTAATAAGAATAGAAGAATGCCATTTTAGCTATTCATTTCTCTTTTGCATAGTGTATACTTACAATATAATTGGCTGGAACACATACAGTTAGACTAAATTCATACAAACCACTAATGGGTGCAAAATAGATTCCCGTTGTTTTATTTAAATGTTCACTATAATTCAATATTATATCATCCCATACAATAATAGCTGTATCATCTTGTAAAGCAAACGTTCCATTTAATGCGGCAAAAAAGGCAGATTTAACTCCGACATAACCATCGCGTCCTAATAAAAAAATAGATTATTTAATCAGAAAAACAAACAGTCAATGAAGTAAGCAATTACCTCTTGGCCCGGGTAGACCGGGAGGTCCTGATGGTCCATTTAATCCTTGTTTGCCGGGTGGACCAGGTGGACCTATAAAAGGAGTATTAATCATAGAAATAAAGAAAAATAATATATTAGATGATTTTACCGGCTGGTCCCTGGATGTCTAGAGTAACGCGATTTCTAGCAGCTAAATGAATAAAAAAAATTTTATTCAGAAATAGAAGAATTATTCATAATAATAGTAATACTCTTACTTGGACAGTTAATATGTAATTTGCACTGAGATGTCGACCGTCCTGTTGGATTTTCGGGATTTGTATAATAGTTCTCTTGAATTTTTGATGATGATTTTTGACTTGGATAAAACACATTATTGTCGGGATTTCGTTTTTGATAAGAGGGAGATGATCGGGGATAATTGTAACCATAAATAGGATAATTATAAGATTGAACTTGTTGTTGTTGTTGTTGTTGAATGGGTTGTGGTGGAAGGTAAGAATCAGAGTTGAAATTTCCTTGATGTTGAGAATTTATATATTTAGTCAGTTCAATTACAATCAATGTACACAAATAACACAAAGTTCGAATCATCTATTGACTAAAGTAGAAAAAAGTCACATGTTACCAATTTTATGTAAAATATGTTTTGTTTAAAAATTAGAGTTTTTCAATACTGACATTACTCAATCTTCAACTATAGTTGGTGAACATTCAAGGAAACTCCTTTTAATATGTCAAGAGAATATGTAGACTTTCTTGTGTGTGTGTGTGTGCAATAAATTTTTTTTTGATTAAATCACAGTTTATAAATTCCAATAGAAATGAAAAAAATAATCGAAAAATCATTTGAAATTAAGCTAAAAAATCTGTGAGTTTCACAGTATGAAACTTGTCATCACATTTTGTCATTGAAGCCAATAAAAGGCAATTACAGAAGAAAAAAAAAAAAAACTTGTTGTTAAAAGAAAAAACGTAGTATTGATAAAAGGGGGAATTAATTCATTTATTATTTAAAAATAATACAAATTACGACAAATTTTTTTTATCCACTCTCTAGTTCAATCAGAATCAATGAATTTTCAAAAATATTATTTTTGTTTTAAACCCAAGGGTTTCATAGAAGTGTAATATCTTGCATTACTCAAATTGTATATTGCAGAGACGAAAATGATCTTCAGATCAAATATTTTCGTCTCATAACAAATAAATATTAACGATTTTTCTAGAAACTAATATAATGTTAGATCAATTTGATTTCGAGACATAAACATTGAAAAGAATGAGAAATCTAGTTTAAAAATATATAGTGGTTAGCGGAAAAAACGTATCTTTTATGTTCAATAGAGGTACACGAGACATACCAAGAGTATGTAAACATATGCAATCGATAATATTCTACCTGACAGTACAAATGCCTATTTTATAGTTTAATCGGCCTAGCTGTCGATTGGAATATCAAAAGATAATTTTTACAGTAAAATTTGTTATAGTATAAAACTAATTATAATATAAAAAAAGAGCATTAAAAACTGCATTAGAATTTGTCTTCCTCTAGGCAAAATTTGTTTTCCAGTCATACGATATTTTTCGAAATAAAAATATATTATATTCTGATTAAACTATTGTAAATATTACGATCACTATACAGACCAAAAACTTTCTGAACAATATTCATTTTCTTTAAAATGTATCATCTCGTCATAAAATAAGATAGAAATAGCCAGAAATATGAAAAACTATTTAGAATTTTGTTTAAGTTTTGAATTACGTCTTCTTCTTTATTTTATACTAAAAAAAAGTTACAATAAAATTACTTTGATAAAAAATTGGTTCAAAATTGGTCCTACGACGATCTCTGTAACAAAATGGAATATATCCTATATCCTGAATGAGATGTGACTATTAGGTCTCGATTAGACTATGCGGCACGCTGTTCAAATATGAAATCTGATGTTCTTTACGATTAGTCATTCAGGGAAAAAAAGGTGTTACAGAAAATTTATTATTTCTAGTCTGAAAAGAATAATAGAATCACTTCAGATATATTTATTCTTTCAAAACTTAGATAATATTATTTTTCAAAATAAATACACCACTGGAAAGACTGTAGAATTAGCGTCATTTGGCCGAGTTTCAGTGTTGCTCTAAAAAACATTCTATAATGACCATTTTTTGTCGAAATTGGCAAACCGCACACGAAGCTGACCAAAAGTAGGATATGAGATTTTTCTTTTAAACTAGAATTGTACAGAAGATCTACTAGTTAAAATGTTGCTTATTTTTTCATGATTTACAAATAAAATCATATTAACAACAAGCCTTATGTTTTTTTAAATCTTGCCAACAGTCAAAATCAACATTTTCTGAATCATAAAGTAGGAGTGGGACAGTTCCAGTTCAGTTCTTTTGAACGAGAACTGGTTACCAGTTCTTTTCAAAAATTAAAATTGAAATAAAACCAGTAAATCTACTTCTATTGACTTTGTGTAGTGCGCCAGAGATAGATGGTGTGTTTGATTGACTAAATCAAGTCAGTATAATTAGTTACATCGGTTTTATTTTATTTTGAATTCTTGAAAAGAACTGATGGTCAATTTTTTATACGGTTTGCCAGTTTCAGAAAAACAGATCTTTATAGTATACGAAATGTAATTGATTCTACAGTCTTCTCAGTGGTGTATTTTATATTCAAAAATAAGAGTATGGCAAACAACACGTACATACGACTGTAGTTTCAAGATTTACCAAAATGTCTCAAATTATTATCATAAGAAAGAACGAATAAAGAATCCTATAGGCAGATTACATCAGTTCAAATATTCTACAACTGATCAGGAAAGAAAATCTCGTTGAAAATTTATTTTGATTAAACTCAATTATGTGAAGAACAAAAAAGCTTTCATTTATACTTACGTTTCTTCTACCTATAGTTTTTCAATAAATTATCAGTCATAATGTCTCTTTCGTGCATGTCTTTTTTCACCAATTATTTTTTTTTATTCCAATCAGAAATGATTGACAATATTTTTTTTGAAATATAATAATAATAATAAACTTATAACAATGAAAAGGAAGAGTGAGGGAGAGAGAGAGAGAGAGAGAGAGAAAAGCATAAAAAATCAATGTTGCAGATCGAGCATTATATTATTAACAGAAACACAACAATTCGAACATAAAAATGTCATTATCAACGTTCTTCCGTTTTTATAGATCTACATCAATGACTTAACATTAACACAAAATCATCTTCCCTAGAGTCTGTTTATATATACTCACATTTATAGAATATTGAGAAAAAAAAAATGATTTAAAATATTATTGAGATGGATATTGGATAAGAGTTAAATTATCATCATAAATCAATAATAAATCTTGTTAATAATGAAAAAATCATCAGAAATATTTTTTGAACTATTGATAATTAATTAACTTTAAACGTTCAAAGTTCGAATAATGAACCACTACACATTGATTATTTGAGTGAGAAAGTAAATTATAATCTTATCCTCAGTTTTCACTTTCAAACAAAAAATTTTTTTTATGAAAAATGATTACGTTTACATATATTTATTATGAGTTATGATATAGACACTCAATTATTGTCTATTGAATCTTTAACGAAACTTTTGTTAAAAATGAATGTTCTAATCTACGATATTTTTCATGACATACACTTTTTCTTCCGAGTCTCCTTATTTTTAGCAATTTTTGATAATCAGTTAGATAGAATGGATTGTGAAATATAACAAGAAAACATCTTTTCAACAGTCGTATTACAATTGAAATAAATTAAAATATTTTGGAATAATCTTACTTTCACGCGTAGTGTTGCCGTTTGTTATTAAACAACTGTCACTGATTGTTGTTAATCTTCAGTTTTTTATGTAAATCACAATGTCGTTATTAGAGCAAAAAAAAACACGTTTATCTTTCTTTAGCCAATTTTGAAGATATTGAATGACTTACAAAAAAAAAAAAATAGAGAAGAGTAAATTTTCTTAATTATTTCTTATAAGTGCCAGTTGAGAACACTTTAAGATTACAAGTAAAAACTTGTTTTCACATAATGTAAGAGTGTAAATAGAGAGAAAACGTTTGGTTTATCAATTTTGATTAACTTCATTTACACACACACACACACACACACACACACATACGAGAAATATAGGTTCACTTTTTTTTCATATTTATTCCATGAAAAATAACTAGATCTATTTAAAACATCATATAATGTTTTCTTTTCCCTTCCGTATATTTATTGTTTAACAATTATAAGAATAAGAGAAAAAAGAGAAAAGAAAATAGGAAACAGGCTATTCTTGCTCTCTTATATCGATAGTTCTTCATTACATTTGCAAAAGCTAAAGCTAATGTTATACTGAGAGAGAACAAACTCTAACAAAAAAGGCTTCTTCTTCGTTCATATATTAAAAAAAAAAAAATTTTTTTTTTCAATGACACAGTAGAATGAGCATAACATAGAAAAAATCTTGCGAAAATACAACCGTCAACAGAATAATCATAAATATATAGTTTATTATGAATGATTATTTCGTTTAGTGACATTCAAACTCTTCTACTACACTACAAGGAGAAACTTTTCCAGATTTTTCTAAGAAAGGAATAGAAAATAAATACGAAAATCTCGCTAAAAATCAAAATATTTTTGTTGTTGTTCTGTAGCTGCTTTTATTATCAAAATGACATTTTCAAAAGTAGAAGCTTTAGCAATGATTTACTTACTATACGCTACAGTCTTCCTTTTTTTCATTCCATTAAGGAGGTAAACATATACACAAAGAAAGTGACAGTAACAAGCAGGATTTATGAATAACTATGTCTTGTATTTTTATGTTTCTAATTGAATTGGTCACAGTGTTGTAATCGTTTCATTTTTAACTGATGAAATATTTCAATTTAAAAGTATTCCTATTAAACATCGTCACTTCATAACTGACTTCATATAATAAAATAACACTAATCTTATTAATCTTTTAAGAGTACCCCGCCTCTTTTTTGCAAAAAATCTTTCATTTTGAGCTGAACGTAACCTAATGTAGACGAAAGTCTGGGTATTAAATGAGACCACTCCCAGCTCTCCATGAACTTCCTTAAAAAGTTATGAATTTTTTAAGTTTTTCCTTTAAAGCTTAGAAAATCTCATCGTTTTAGTTTCGTAAATTTCCCCCCGCCCCCCTTTCCTATATATTCAAAAGTTTTTCTTATACATAGCATAATAGAAGAAAGTGTGCTCTTCATTATGAGACGTTTTTCAGAATTTTCCGATGAGTTTTCGCGGAGATATAAGTATAACCACAAATGCCCTAAAAACTAGAGTCCTGTGAACAAAATGTGTTTTTCCCACTATGCGTTTTTTCGATAGTCCCTTCAATCGAGTCACATTACGATCTCTCGAAAAAATGGTTCGATCGAGCTCAAATTTATACCACAGATACTTTAGACCTCCTGTCTCAAATTCGTTTTTTTTAAAGCATTTTCAATTTCAACTTTTGACGTGAGAAGGTTTTTAAAATAAAAAACCGATTTTTTATACAGAATTTTTAGTATTTTTCGAATATCTCGAGAAGGAAAGAATATTTTTCGAAAAGAAAATGAACCTGAGATAGGGTCTAAAGTATCTGTGCGGTAAAAAGATCATTGAAACATACCGTCTAAAGTGTGAACAAGGGATTTTGTAAGCCTATCTAGTTTTTCGTGTTAGAGGCTGAAGTCGTCATTTGCACGTCGTTAGATTCGCTGAAAGCTTGTCTTCAAAAGTATGACTCGCTTTTTTTTAAATTTTGCTTCATTGGTGGAAAAATCTGTTTTTACTAAATCAAAGGCGAAAACTTTTCAGAATTCTGCCCGTAATTCTCAATCAGAACTCAACTTTTAAGCAAAAAAAAAATATCATATTCGGAATCAGGATCAAAAACTGAGTCGACTAATCTGTATTTCTATCCTATCCAACTACTATAATTGTTTTCGAACTTTTATGCTGAAAAATTACCGAGATTTTTACCCCAAACTGAAAAATCAGCTAAAAGTTTCGAAGTATAGATTATACCAGAATAAATCTGTAAAACCATAGAATACGAGATTTTATTTTTCTATTTTCTCGAGGGACGCCCAAAAGGCCAGTTGTTAGGTGAACAATCTTAAGTGTTCGAAAACTCGTGTGCTATACGTTATTCGACTTAGTTTCAAAGTCACGAAATCCCATCAAAAAACTGCTTAAAATCAGATAAATGCTAATTTTCTAAAAAACTATTATTTTTTTCTTTTAATAATATCATCATTTGATAGAGCATAAAACGTTGTGCGCATCGTATCCGTTTCGTGCTGTTTCAAGATTTCTTCGCTTTATAATGAGTACAATACAAGGAGAAATATGAATTTACTTCTCTTTTGGGATGCTGCTCTGAATTGTTTTTTGGGCATTTAAAGCACAGTAAATTATTTTCCAATAATAGATTCTTAAAGAGCAAAATATTTCTGCACATTTTTTACTAGTTTCTAAGTGAAGAGGTTTTTTTGATCGAGATGAAATAAAATTATAAAACGTACAATGATATACTTTCTGACACCCAAATTTAATTTTTTTTTGTGTCGGTTTTGATTTTTACGATTCTCGAATGTTTCAGATTTGAAAAATCAGGAATTGATCCTACCTCTTTCAGGTATGCATGGTGTGTGAGGCGAAGAGTATTCAACATAAGAAGAAGAGAGAGTGTTAACATTTTGTACACGTTAAAATCATACATGAAATAGATTCGTTCTGATCAAAAGTAGTTATCCCTTCCTTTCGTACAGTCCACCTTTTATTCAACCAAATAATACTGTTTAATAACTACTGATAATACTGATGCTTACTCCGATCCTATAGATAGTGTAGATTATAAGCAGATTGCTGACAAGGATAAGTTACGTCTCTTGTACGGGGTTTCTAGGTATTTTTTTTTATGGAAATGAGAGTTTTTTTATTGAAAATGATATCTGTTGAGTGAGCAGGTGTGATGTTTGAACTTTGGGAAAATGTAATGTACATCGACAAATATTCGATGAAATTTTGAAGTCAAAATATTGTTTGTCAATTCAGTTCTAGATTTGTTTTCAAGAAAATGCGAACTTTCAAAAATAATTTGTATACAATTCATTACTTATAACACTGCAACGAATATGCGTCACGTCACCAAAATGGATAGGGTATTTAGTCAAACAGTACACTTTTAATGGTAAGTCAAAAATGTGTTTTCTTCCAATAGAAAGATGCATCGAATTACTGCTCAAAATCGTAAAACCGATTTATATCCTCAACTATGCAATCATAAAAGTGAAGAAAAAGTCTTACAATCAGTATACACCAAATAAAGAGTTATTAGCTTAAATAAAAGATGGACTTTAGACAGAAGTTACTTCTTTTTAACCAGCATTGTAAGATAAGTGTACATTTACAGGCCAAAAATAACATAGTATTAGTTGAATGAACCATACATCCAACGAAAAAGATCTTTAATACAGTACAGTATGTATTTTACTCTTCGATAACGATTAAACGTGCTGTTATTGGATCGCGTATTCGTGTTATTTTATGAACTGTTTTTTTAACTATCGCTGTTGTTTCTGTTCTTGTTTGGTGCTCAAGTGCGGTTAATGGTCGTTCTAAATTTGATGTACTATCTTTCTTCTCAGTAGAACTAGTTGTAAATTGCGTGGTCATAGTCATGGCTGTATTATTTCGTTGTTGACATCTGGCATCAGTTGATTTACCAGCAATCTAAATGAAAAAAATGAAACCATTCTTAATACCTTATTGTTTATTTTTCGACAATAACAATCTCCGATTAAAAGCAAATAATCTATGATGTCAATATTTATTGTACTTACTATATTCTGTAGACGTTGTTTCGTTGTATTATCATCATTTAGAATGTCTGGATCATCATTTTTGATTGATATTAATCTAAGGTTATTTTTTAGTCTCTGAAGTCTTGTCGTCAGTGGTGTTGTTTCCCTGTCCTGTTGATGTTTTGTAATGGTTACCGGTTTTGTTTCAGTTATTCTAACTGTTGTCACAATATGACTCTTTCTGCTATGTGACGCTTTTGCCTTATTTAGTTGTTGTCGTACTATTCTATCAATTCGACTCTTTTCATTTGGTTTTATATTATTTTCACTTAACTGAAATTTACCTGACACTTTACCATTGAGCGAAGTAGAACTATTAGTGTTTGCTGTTTCATGATGACGTTTTTTTAACCTTTTATCATTTGGTTGTTTTTTAACTAATCTCGTACGTTCGAAATATCCTTCTTTTTCCACATCTAGTTTAGACAGTGGTATCATGAAATCTTTTGTACTATTTTTTGACTAAATAAAATTATTGACTACAAACGCTAGATTTAGACAAAATGTTGTATGTTTACCTCAATTGTACTGGCAGTATCATGGATCGTCGGTATTTGTATTTCAGGCCCTACTTTCATGTCAAACGTAGTACGAGCAAAAGAGGTATCGGATCTTCGACAGGTATTCCATGATGGAAGGTATAATCGCGGTATCTCAATGTGTGAACTTGAGCGTCTTTTCAAAAATTCATTACTATCAAAATCAATGTGTTGAAAATGTGTATGCACAGGTGTCGAATACCAGTTCATTTGTTGATGAACTGATAACAGATGATCAAGAGCATTTAATTCAGCTAAGCATAATTCACATTTATACCATCGATGAAGAGAATCAAAGGAGAAATGATTCAAATAACATTCGTTATAATAAGAAAAATCATAGCAATTCGAATTGTGAGAATTGTCAATTAAAATAAAAGGGTAATTTTTTGACACATCAACATCATTGTTATATGTTAAACTCTGAAGATATAGAAAGGAAACAATTTTAAATGTAACCGAAGTTTTTAACTTAGAAGAAACCAACACGAGATTGCTTGATTTGTTAAAAGTTCATTTTTGTAGTAACTGTAGAAGACGATTGAAAGATTGACAAAAGTAGTTTTATATAAAAGCAAAATAAAAGTAAGTAGATAAATGCAGATACAACTAAGATGAGCTGTAGAACTGTTGAACTAGATAACTGTAAATCTTTTATTCTAGGTGTTTACTAAATTGTTTAGTATCATGGTAACGGAATCCTATACAAATTTTCTATCGCGTTCAAAAAAACTATTATTAATTCCGTACCACTTTATGTTATTCGAGTTCGAACATGTAGCAGGACAGCAGATCTCGGCAAAACATTGCTGTAGAATAATTTTTCTCCACAATTCAATGTAATATTAAAAGTTAGGTAATCTGATATTGATAAATTTATGCATTTAGGGCTCGTTTACACTAGTATCAACATCAAATTACGTGTTCTTAACACTGTGCAACTATCATAAATCCTTTCCCAAAAATAGAAGGGTATGGTCTTCTATTATGGTTTCCACATCACACATTTTTTTTCAAAAAAATTATACTATAATAGGGCGATTCTGCAAAAATTTCGCGCTAAATTGGTCTTCTATTCAGAATGGTTTGCTAATTTGGAAAGAAGTTTATCTGAACCTTTGATTTCTCAGCTAAAAGACCAGACTTATCTTTGGTGCTAAAGTTGAATTTAAAAGTTTAAATTAATAAGAAAATTATCACTGAAGAAGCCTAGTGTATATTGTCTTGAAATGGTGTATCTATTTCGATATTTTATTTATGAAAACACTTAACTATCCTAATCAATGTGACCGGTCTGGTCTATACAAAAAAAACTTTGAATCGTGATTTTAGATCTTTTCCACTAGTAGCTGTTTTTTAAATCATGCATTGCATATTTCGATAAAAAAAAAGAAATTTTTCCTATTACTCACGATTACTAGAAGATGCCTAAGTTTCACATAGTCATCTTCATAAGCAGTTATTTTACTTTCGAGTATAGGATTCAATTCAGAAGATTCATCAAGCCATGGTGATATACTTGTAAATTATTCTGTGCTCATAGGAGATAATTTGTTGTTTAGTATATCTGTTATTAAACAGATATTAAACAGATATACTACAATAAATAAACATGAACCTTACGTATATAATTTTTCAACTCATTGGGAATAGATCAGTTTTTCTGCCATTTTACTTGAAAAAGTTATTCAGATCAAACATCACAAAGGGAGAAGAGTTGAATGTTTTTGACTTTAGTGTAAAAAGCAGGGAATGGCATTTTTTGTTTAGTTCGAAGTATCATCATCCATGGACTAATGGCATAGAATAGAACAAATTTATATACACACACACACACAATTACGTTGATGTACCATTGAATGAGATAATAAAGATTATTAAATCGGTAACTTTTGGCGAACGAAACAGTTAATTCATTAGTCAGTTAGTTTATGGAAAACAACTATTTTATTGTTGACAGTTATGAGATAAGATGAGCTTATTATTATTATTATTATTATAGGGGAAGAGGGTTGTTTTCGATCATTATGAAAAAGTATGTTCACAGAAACAGGGTCATGTAAACGCACCAGTGATTTTAATTTACGCGGTTTTTTAATTTTATCAGCGTATTGACGTACCTACAAAATGAATATAAAGAGAATTTATAGTCATTAATGACAATATAACAATGTAAAAAGAACAACGAACACGTAAACAATGTTAAAAAAAGTATGAAATTATTATTTATTTAAAGTGTACAAATAAAAGAGAGCAAAAATAGAACAAAAAAGTAAGATCATCGGTATACTGTAATTGCTAATAAAAATTGGGCGATGATAAGTGCAAACAATTTTTTAGGACGAATGTGAATGCAAAGAACATTTGCAATTAACACCATGTTCTAATTTAACTCTTCGTTCAAATTCTTTTATTTCTTTAGGTGATAAAAAATCAGCTTTAATGGGTGACGTCTTCTGAAAACATAATAATAATAACAACACGATGCCAAATCAATAAAAATAAATAGATTGAGTTAATCATTTAATTTGTTTTCCTTCAAAAATAATTCACAGAAATGTTTACCAACTTTTCTAAAAAATGTCATGGTTGATTGCTTTTACTAATATCAATTAAGTGGATATTTAGTTTGTGAAGTTTTTTAAAGGGATTACTAGCCAACTGAATGTAACACGTTATAAATATAAGTTTTCAGTGCACCTATGAGAGGTTCTAGTATTTTTGTACTGTTTTTATTTAAAATTTGGTCCAAAGTAAAAGTGAACAGAAAATTATTCTGATGGCATAGGCTGATAGAACATACTTGATAGCCTAAGGAAATCTATGTTTGCACACTACCAAGTCCTTATTTTCAAAATTTCAGTTATATTGGTTTGGAATCAGACCTGATGAGAAAATCTTTTCTTGTTCTTTAGTCGATAACTGACAACTACAGTGATAAATGCAATCAGATATAGGTTTTCAAACATGCCCTATTGATTGGCATGCTCAGAAAGACCATTCCAGATGACTTTTAGAATTCGGACGCTGAAAACCTATCCTGTAAGATATTTATAAAAAACAAAGTCGCCCGCCCATAAGTAAGAAAATCTCGTCTTAACGATGTATACTTCCGTCGAGAGAAGGACGGTATGTGAGTGGGACAAATTGAGTGTCAGACACTACTAGGTAATAGTAAATCGTATTTTGCGAAAAGAGCCAAGGACCTGCGGTGTTGTCAGTCGATTTTGACGTTAAATCTGCAGAAAATAATGTGAAAAAATTACAGGTATAAGACTTACTTTTTGCACAATTTAGCAAAAGTGGATGGGACAACGGATTTTGACTTTTTGAGGATTACGTTTTGTAGCGCCGTTTTTGCAAAAACGGAAAGAGATCACGCAAAACCAAGATAGTACATCGATGAAGCAGAGAAAACAATATATAAACCGAAAAAAAATGTGTAATTTTGTCCTTCTACGAGATTAAAAAGTTTGACTTATAAAACAGAACATGCTAGAATCACTAAGAAAACGTGCGAGAAAAGAACAACACAAGAAAGCGTTTTGCTCACAGCTCTCCAACGGTTAAAGTTAAAACACTTAACGTTATATATAGATTGAAGTGTCCTCTACGAAACGGCAGTGGTGTCAAGTAGTTTCGTTCAGTTTGAGCAGAGAAACAGGCGAGTCCATGCATTAGGGTTGACCCGGTACAAAAATCACCGGAACATCTCATATATTAGCATTAGTCAGTAGTATATACAAGAGGAGAAACTCGGAATATGCTGGAATGGGGCATTCCAGGCCATTCCGTACCATTTCAAAACGCTTTTTCCCTCTTGAGTATATATCACGATGTGTATATGTATTAAATATGTAGACAAAAACAAAGTACGCACCAATGAGTGTTGGTAGGTTATGTACAAAACATATTTTTTTCAAAATCGCCAATATTTTCAAGTATACTTACATGTTGTGCTTTTGGTGTGGATATCTTCGATTTGAGATGTTGATTTGTTGCGTATTGATTATTTCTCTGTTCAACAAGTTTAACAAAGTTTTTTTCTCTAACATCTTTTGAATAATATTTTTTCTTTTTTTCTGTATCTACCTGTAGAATAAAGTAACATGAGAAACACTGGAATATTGATCATTACAGTTTTATATCATCAATACCTTTTCCTCATGTGTTTGTACATCGTTGTCACCGAATACTGGTCCAAAGCCTCGATTTTTTTCAAAATTCTTATATTCTGAAAGTACTGATTTTCTACCCGATTTCTCCGTTTCGCGTCGTCTTTGTTGATTTTTAAATGCATTCACGTAACTACCTAGAATAAGAACAGTTTTGTTTGTATCTTTACACGTACATGATCCTGATCAACGAAACGGATTTACCTTATAGGAAACCTAGTATTGATTTTCAATCGTTATCTTTCGATGATTTGTGAAGCGCTTCTATGTATTTCGAAGGAATCAGAAACTAAGGTTCTATATTGAGAAATTCATTTTATTGTTTTTTACTCATCAGCGTCTCTCCTTATGTATATATGGACAGTCAGCAATCGGTGTTAACAACTGAATTTGAAATCTTTTAATCGAAAGGCAGTTGATGATAACTTCACTTAATCTAACTTAGCTAATAAAACGATGTGCGTGTATGTATGGAGAAGAATTCATTATCACCTCGCACTTCAATAAGCTCAATTCTCGTTCGGTGAATTCTGCCTATTATTTTTATGCAATTAAGTAAATAATTATTTGAGTACATCTAAAAAGCTTGAATAGCGTCAACTCAAAGAATAGTGTACACTTGTCTAATTTATCGACTTAGCCCGCTGGAAACTATATCGGAAACTATGAGAAAAACGTAACTTACCTTCATCTTAGAAATAAATTCTCACCTCCTACCTGGATCTGGCACGCTCAGTCCATATAAATATTCGTGTATATTAAGATTTTGTCTATCATGGATATTTTTATCATCTAATTCTTCATGTTGTTGTTTTGGGTATGGATATTTGTTATCATTATGCTTTCGAGGTGTACGTGGTGTATCCATCTCAAAACCATTTTCGCGTCTTGCATACGGATAGACGCCATTCGAATTTGAGGTGTCTCTACCTGTTGTATATCCACTTTCGAAGATTTGAACATGCTTTGGTTTGACTGTTGTTGTGGAATTCATGTTGTTCATATCAAATGGTCGATTATTATTGTCATTATTATTATTATTATTATATTGGTGGTGCCCATTTTGTCGATGATGTGCTGGAGGTGGAGGCGGTAAATTGGTCATTTTAATAGTGGGAGTTACTGAGGACATTTGATACTCATTTTTCGGTTGTAGACTAATCGTTAAATTTAAACCATCCGCCTCCATCATTTGATCTTTACGTGCCGCTGGTAGACTTTGATAAGTACTATAAGTTTTAGAACGATATATTGATGGTGGATAGTATCGTGTTCTCGCTGGAGTGTTAGGAATATAAGTTGTTGATGGTACATAACTTGAATTGTAAGGTGTACTATTCCACGTTGGCCATTGTGGTTCTGATGATATAGGAATATATGGTTTTGAATAGAAGGATGTTGTGGCAACAGCTGGTAGCTTCCAGGTGGGTAGTAGAAATGAATATTCAGCTTCAAGAGAATTCATTCATGTAGGCACATAAATAATAATCGTCGTCGTCGTTTGTTTCTAAATGAAGAGAAAAGCAAACTTTTCGGTTCGTTGCTGGTGCTGTTTTTTTTTTTCGTACTGTAACAACATAAACAAATAGAATTGTTCAAGTTGAATTTATTAATTGCTATACATACATGTTTTGTTTGGGCTATATTGAAACTCAAAATTGACGCTTCGAATTAAACTCTTTTAATATAATCTTGAATAAAGTGAAGAAAAAAAATATATTTTTTTACTTGTGTACTAATATTTATAATAGAATGAAAGTGAGATGAATCGATAAGATATTTTTGAACTTGTTAATACTTTGAACTTCTCCAGTTTTCAAGATTTTTGTGCGTGCTTTTGAAAAAAAAAAAAAGTCGTAAAAGTCCACCATTTTTATGATAATCAGTGCGTGTTCAGAAAATATTTATATCATTTGACTCCTTAAAATCGCATGAACACATTGAAATCGAAGTCCAGAATTTCTGATGAAAACTGAGTAAGACCTTGATGACTCAACTCAATACGCATTGGTCTAAAAATGAAATTCTTGATTCAAAACTTTCCTCTCACCTTCGTTTTCTGTTTAAATTTTAGCTGATTGTTAAAAAAGAAAACAATCTTGTGTACGATTGAATTCAAACAACAACATCTACTTGACGCCAATTTTAATCACATTTATTTCTCATCTAAAGAAGAAGAAAAAGTGAAACGTGTCTTTTCTTATACACAGAAACAGAGTAAATAAAAGAAAAAAAAAGTAACGTTTGTTTTTTTACTTTATTAAATCTTTGTCTTAATAAAATGACGATTAAGATTGATTTCATTCAACATAAACAACAAGCCACTTGATAGAATAGAAGATCGTTCAGTTTAAAAACGGTTTTCTTTTTTCATAAATCAATATCTAAGATTATTCATCGATCGCATAGATGCTAAGAGTTGAATACTTCTTTTTGATTCGAATTTCGTTAATAAATCTCATCAAAATTTCAAAAGATTGTTTTTAAACATACAAAATCTCCAAGGACTTTTTATGACTTCCTTTTCTTCTTCTTCTTCTTTTTATATGTATATATTTTTGAACAACTGTTATATCGTTCTTGCCCGATAATGATATCAAATTGATATTAAAAGCTTGTTTAATAAAGAAAATTTTTGAGTATCAGTCATGATTTCCTTTTTGATAGTTCTTTACTCTATATTCTAATTGTTAAATTCTTTTGTTTTTGTTTGTATTAAATATTGCTTCCTTATCAAGTTATAACAAAAATGCTAAATAATCGTTAAAAAAATGAATAATTTTAAAATGAAAAACTCTGTAATGAAAAATAATATTGGTCCTTTTTGAGATACGGCCTTGTATATCATGTGGTAAAGATTTCAACTAAATTGGAGGAATGTACTAATATCGACGTAGATTCACCTAGGAACAACTGATATAAATTATATCACTGATTATATAAGTTTGTTTATTTAAATTAATAACTTTGTTTCAACACCTATTAATAATAACGTTATTGAAATTACTTTCTGTCATTGAATAGGAAAACCTTAAAGTTTTTTCGCCAATAGATCGATTTTAGTAAGAGGTGATAACATGACGAATTGAATTCTTTGGTTAAAAGAATGCACGAGAAGAGAAAGAAATGAATTATTAATATTCATAAATTATAAGCATTTACGGAAAACAGAAATTAAAAGAAATAGAAATGATACTCAACATCATTCTTTCCCCTTTTTTTTTGTTTTGCTGTTGAGCAATAGCGACAAATATACTACGGCCGTATATTTATTCATAATAAATGTTTTAAACTACTTTCTAACGGTTTATTTTATCGGTAATTGTTCAACTACAATTACTAAGTAGACTTTTTATCTCGACGGAGACACGAAGAAAACTATAAAAAACAGTCTTTTTTATAAAGATAGTAAAAATTGAGAATAAAAGTAGGCAATATCCCATATTGTGTAAATCGCTTGAAAACTGTCGATTATTTTAAAAACCAACGGTTAACTGCGGTTATTACAGCTGAAATCATAGCAACACAGCGGAAAAACCGGTTAAGCGTCTAGTTAACCGGAAATAACAAAATAATATTTTTCCGGTTAACTGGGCGCTTATCCATCGGTTTTTATGCTATGCTGCTATGATTTCAGCTGTAATAACCGCGGTTTATCGTTGGTTTTTAAAATAACCGCGGTTAACCGACCGTTTTCGGGTGGTTTACACAACATAGGATGATTCGCCTCGAAAGAGATACTAATGTTTGGTAGATGCTAAAATATATGAACAAATACTATTTAGTTAGAAATATATATAAAAAAGATAAAACATTAAAATTATTAAAGATAAAAACCGATTGATACTCAAATGCCTAAAATAGAAATTATAGACACCATAGATCGATTTAAGTTCACTAGATTTATATTAAAACGTCATTATCTACAAATGATGATAAATTAGTTGTTTTCAGCGCAAGTAACGTGTTCCCTCGAGAGATTCAAGCGTTTTCTCTTCTCTTACAGTGAACAATGGTCGACTCTCATCACTATCTTCATTCTGTGTATGAGTATCACGATCGTCCTCTTCCTCTTCTGATGCTGTGGTACTTTTCGCTTGACTTCGATTTGATGAATTTTCGTATGTATTTCGTTTACTGCTCTGTGTATATAGATCTCTTCTTGATAATCGTTTACTATTGTCATAATCAGACATGTCTTCATCTTCTTCATCGGATGGACGCATCGTTGATCGATCTGACGATTGATTTCTTGAATATGATGTTTGACTACTACGGTTCGATTTTACTTGTTTTTGTTTCGATTTACTTCTTAAATTTTTATCAAATGTAAATGTTTTATTTGTTCTAATTGTTTTCGTTGTCGATGCGGAACTTGGACGTATTGATGTTCGACTCACTGTATCAGGATGTGATGCTCGCGAGTTTGTTTGTTGCGGTCGTTGAATTTCAGATTCGGCATTATTCTCCTAGAAGTAGTTGTTTTAGTATTAGGATTTAGTGGATAGACTGTGAATGTGAGAAAAGCATATTTTCACACCTGTATTTCATTGTTGTTTATTTGAAGTGACGGTCGAGATGTTGACGGATATAATCGCGATGCTTCTTCAGCATAATGGATGGCAAAATTACGATTTCGAATTCTTTCACCGTAAGATTTAGATTGTTGATACAGTTGTTTCTAAAATAGAAATAATACATAAACTGTATGGGTGCATTAGCATTTTTTCAAAAAAGATGAAGTATAGTGGACAAGTAATATTACACACACTATATAGCATAACTCTTTGCTATACTTCTCAAACAAGTCTATAAAATGTTGTAACTTTTAATCACATAGACTATTGTATAAAAACAAACTGTTTATAATATTACTATTTGTATACCTTTTCTTCCTTGCTTAGTTCATAAACATTGCCTTTTTTAACATCCATGAAGTCTCCCCATTTGCGTGGAGTAACTGCATTATATAAAAGGGCATCTTTTGTTGAATTTCGAACATAATTACCATAACTCATTCGTTTTACAGCAGTTTCATTCTAATATTCAAAAAAAGAAAAAAAATTTGAACCAGAACAAAAGTAGCTTAACTTACTACTTGACCTTGTTCTCTTTTTTTCTCTGCTCTAATTGCTTGCAAAGCTTCACGATATCTTTCGTCTTCATCCTTGTTTATAAAGTCTCGATGAGTAAGCTCATTTTGCATGTAAAATGGTAACACCGAATTTGGTAAAAGTGTGCCGAGTGAACGCAACTAAATAAGAATCATACTATTAGTAGCCTAAAAATCCCAGTAAGGTGTGTTCCACCAACTTGTTTTCTCCATGATGATGTTGTGTTTAAGGCATGATTGATTCTTTTTGATGATGGTGGTTCATATTTTTCTGTTCTTGGTTGCTTTTGAGTAGTTTGTTTAACAACGTTTTTTGGTACAGTTATCTTATCTGAAACGAGCGAAAACCAAGTAGAGATCGGTAGAGATTTAACTGTTTTAATGCGATAAACTTACTGTATGAATTCGAAGTTGGTTGTGCTAGTTTACTTCGGTTAAGTAATGAGTTTTTGCGGTAGAACACACCATCAAATAATGAATCAAAATACGAGTCATTTCTCATGTTAAATGCAACATCATTCTCTCGTGCAGTGTTGTTGGTACTATTTGATTTGACTACTTGGTTTGTACTTGTTTTCTGTGGTGGTAGCACCGGTTGTCTGTTCAACGATTTTGACTTATTTTTTTCTCGATTCGCATGAATTGTGTGCAATTGATCTGTTTTAATAGACCAAACATGCTCAGGGTTTTGATTCGTTTCTTCACTACCAATTTTGCCATCTATTATCTTGCCTTTATTGACGTGTTTCACTTGATTATTATCATTTTTCGGTGTATCATCTCGATTTTTCTGAGATAGTTTCTCATTTTTCTTAACAACTTTATCATCATCATCATCATTGTCTTTATCGTTTTTTAATTGACTTCCACTGAGCCATGCTTCAACTGTTTCCATAGGATTTGGTAGATCTGTAATAGTTTGATTTCGGTCGAGTTGATGTTGTTTTGGTATTTTATTGTGCTCGTGTCCAGGTGATCCTGGTAGTTGTGATGTATTGAATGGATCTTTTGTATGTGGAGGATGTGATTCAATATGATTTGATTGTACACTATGAAAAACTTCATTATTTTGTAAAACTTTTGTATCAGCTGGTTTTATGGTCCTCGTCGGCGATCGAATGTGTTCTATCGGATGTATTTTAGAATTTTGAGTGTTTGGGAGTATATGTGTCTCAGCAGTTGGTTCATTTAAGTTCAAATGATCTCTTTTATCTTCCCAGAGAGAGCCTAAAAATGTCTGTTCGAATACGGTGCGATTAGGTTGTTGATATGTTGTTGTCAACAGTGAAGGACCATTAATAATGGATCGAGCAACACTAGATGCCGTATTTGAAGCTGTCGCTAAACTTTCTGAATACTCTGAGAAATCGTTTAGCGAACTGAATGAATTTTGATTACTATGTAATACAGACCAATGTGGCGAACGATAGGTGGCTAATGGACTTGATAATGATGCATAATTTGTTGTTCTATATGATTGATAACCACCGATAGGCTTATAGGATAAATCTTGATTTAGTGACACATTAGTACTATTATTGGATAAAAATCGATACGGTAACGATGATTCATAAAAACCGAGCGGTGTAGATAAATCATCTGTTAATAAGGAGGGATAGGGATATGACAGAAGACCAGATGTGTAACTCATTTCTTATAAAATTGTTAAAAAATAATTTGTGCTCATGCTTACCATAATATTAGACACACTCTCTTTCACACATGTGTTTTGCGTCTCTGAACTTAAATCCTTTCAATCTAATCCACTTTCGAGTAAACAATTATTCAACAAGAAAATTTTTTCTTTGAAATGAAGAAAATAAAATACAAAGCAGTTATGGCTATTCTGTACTCTATTTTCCAGACATATTTAAAAACTGAAGTGTTTTAACTTATTGCCAATATTCACGAAAAATTAGAGACGAGCTTTTATACGTCAAACATCAAAGTGACGTTCAAGGTCATATTTCAGAGAGGTGCTAATACTCTTTCCATAGCGAAAATTTTGGGCTTAGCTGGCGGCCATGTAACGTTTTTGAATGTTCAGTCTGTTTTTGTATTAATATTTCATCACATCTACTATTATTTTTCTCAAAAACTGACGAAAAATTGTACAGCTTTTTTTGAAAAATTTACGTAGGAAACTAAAATTCAAAGCTTTTAACATACTGATTATGCGCTGATTCCGAATATATCATTTATGTTGCGAAAAAAACACACTTTTTTGGTAGATTTAATTTGAAAACCTAATGCTTCTTAAGGTTGAGAACAGATCCGATATTTTGTGCCAAAATGATACACATCTGGTCTTCTGTCATATCCCTATCCCTCCTTATTAACAGATGATTTATCTACACCGCTCGGTTTTTATGAATCATCGTTACCGTATCGATTTTTATCCAATAATAGTA